ATATATACATGTAACTATTTTAAATTATTAATAAAGATATAAGCAAAGCCTCACCTTAATACCAAAAAAAAAAAATAATAATTTGTTTCTCAAAAATTATATAGAGGTCATTAATTGCATTTTGTTATTCATCAAGTTAAAACAGAACTTGATCAGTAAGTTTATATACATGGTGTCCAGAAAGAAGACATTTAAATATATTATTTTCTAATACTCAAAGTATGTTATCAAATCTGATTAGAAATTCAAAGAATTTCAAATAAAAAAAGTTGTCAAATTGCACCATATATTTTATTTGAAGATTAAACTTTGCATTGTTTATTCAGTTGTTTAATACCTTCCATTGCCTAGCATATTTCTTAGGTATGTTTTTGAATTTATTAAATTGTTTAATGAACCAAATTATAAAAAGCTTATGAATTTCATAATTTTTTAGATATTGATTTATCATTATTAATTGATATCACTATCTATTCGAGATAAGTTTTTGATATTTTTGTAAATTATATTTTAAAAACATCCAATATAGCTTACATATCATGTTTGATTTTATATTTAATGAACAGTCTTTATTACTTTTACTATAACTGTCATGTAGATAGTAAACAAGTTGAAGAAGATTATAAAGATGTTCTTGCAATGATAGTTCTGATACCATGTTTAATTTTTCAAATACAATATTTTCAAATACAACTAACGTTATTTGTAGTACATGTAAACTATACAGGATCTTGAATAAAAATGCATTTGCTTACAAATTAAATTCTACAATAGTGTCAGATTTATTTTTTAACATATATGTCATATTATCAGTAAGCCAAAACTGACACTGTTTCAGATCTAAATTATTTTCTTCACAAGTCTTTTTTATTATTTTTGCTACTATGGTTCTACTACATTTATTTATATCTATCATTTTTGTGAGAATAATTATTGGTTGATTTTTATATATATTTCAATATAAAAACAAACTAAAAACATCTTTTTATCTCTTCTTGTACTTTTGTCAACCATTACACCATATGAATAAGATGTTGAATGTGCGTTTCTTGGCCGATTTTGATAAAGCAATACTTTAGCAACTTCTTTATTCTACTGAGAAAGAGTTCTTTTTGATAGCCAATGGTCTAGCATTTCACTAGTAAAAAAACTTATTATTGCTTTAGTACATTCCACTACCACTAAAAGAGAAGTTGTCTCAATATTACTTATATTGGTAGTAAGCTTAACAAATTCAAATGAATATTCATTATTATTTCTTTTTATTATTTTTTTTTACTACTTTTTTAAACTGATTTTTTGTAATTTTTTTTGATTTTTGAGCAACAGACTAAATTTTAGAAATATATTTTTGCTTTGCCTCCTTTACTTTTACGATCTTCATATAAAAAGATTTTAGTTTATTATTCAACTTTACTAATGATCTTGCTAATTTTTAATTTTCAGTTTCTAATTTTTTAGTTTATCTTGTACACCAGAAGCAGACGAATAATGCTTGAAAAGACCACTCTCTACAAACTTGATTGCCTTTTTTTGTAGGTATGGTAACAGTATTTCATCTTTAAGTTTGCCTTTAGAATATATCATAGTATTTAGTAAACTTTCAATTTTTAGAATTTGATTATCTGGTAAAATTTTTATTTTGTCAATTATAATTCAAGCTTTTTTTTAATAACACTTCACCGTTAAGAACTAATTGAATCAATATAATTTTGCATATTTATTAATTCCTCTTGATTCAAAGAAACAATTAGCTTATAAAGGTTTGGTTGTTGTAGGTTTACTGAATCAATGTAATTTTGAACTTTTACTAGTATCTCATTATTCAAAGAGTTTATGGTTTTGCAAATATTAGAATATTGTTTTTTGGATTCATGATCTTTAGTAACTTTTATTAAGTGTTTTCTTTTATTGTTATTTTAATACAATTGGATTGGAAACTTTACTTTTATTAATAAAAATTCATTTTATTTTTAAACTGCAAAAACTCTCATCATAATGAAGTTATTTAACTGAGAAAGAATTCATATTGACTTCATTATATCAAGTATATTAATTGTAATAATGTAAAAATTCTTAGCAAAATGAAAGTAGATTAAACATTATTGAATAAGAATCAAATAAATTTTTTTAAAAAAACATTCCTTAAAACAATATAAAAATTTGAAATTATGCTATATAAAAATTTCTTGGGGTCAATATATATTTATTCTTTAAATTTTACTAATTTGTTTGGAAAGTTTATCTAGTTAATTTTATTTTATCAACCCAGTTAAGAACAAACTAATATTAAGGTTTTATAAGAAACATTTAACTTTAAATAAGACTTGGCACATACTCATATTTTAAAGCAAATACTCTGAGTTTATCATGTAATTTTGAAAACTGTTATGAAAATTCAACCTTTAAAATGTTCTAACTCTTGTTCTAGCAAAGTGAATTAAATTCTGAAACTTGTAAATGATAACTAAATAACATAATTTTAAATCTATATGACCATATTTTATATTAATATGTTAATTTTAGAGATCTCTGTAGCTTAAACATACAAATAATAAATATTTTACTATGAAAATTTATTTATTTATAATTTTAGATAAATTAATACAATAAATTAGAAAATATCTTTACATAGATTTAAAGCTATGCTATCAATATACCATTTACAAATTACAGAATTAAATTTTCTTTATTAGAACAATAGTTAGAACATTTTAAAAATGTATTGATTTTATAATAAAATTACTATGTAAATTTTTTCAAAAAAATGATTAATAAAATTTCAAAAATCTTAATTAGTGCATCAATTATATAGTGCTGCACTATGTTTGTAAATTATATAGAGTGTTATATTCCAATCCAGTATGCAGCATATAAATAAATTGTTTTTATTATAATAAAATGGTGTGGAATTATAATCATAACATGTACTAGCAAACTGATCTAGTATTAAAATAATTAATTTATATGTTGCATACTAGGTGAAGAATCAGTTGTGTAACATTGACAGTTCCTTCTGTTCAAAGCAATCCTTAGTATCATCATTATATGAGGTGTTTCCAATTAAAACAGCCCAGATTTACATATATCTTATTTTGATTTAATCATTTGTTTTGATTTTCAGATTGATCTGAATTAACCAAATTTCATGATTTTGATTAGTTAAAAGTAACAGGCAACTATTGGGTAATCTTGTGATGTGCTTGGTCTCATATAATTTTTCTTCTATATTCTTCTATATTATCTTTATTTTTCATTATACAAATTGACTTTCATTTATAATTGAAAAATGTCAATTATATCAAAATATATATAAATTTAATAAAAACTCATTTTTTTAAAAAATGTAAATCTGGGTTGTTTTAATTAGAAATATCTTATATGAGAGCTACACAAAGAAAATAAATTTTATTTATTAATTACTATATTGATCTTAATGATTTGACATTAAGGCATAACCAATTATTATATATGACAAATAATCATTTTTTATATAGGTTAAGTAATAAATATTTATTTGTTATACCTTATAATTAGTTATGTCTTAGTGTTAAATCATTAAGATCAGTATAGTGATTAATAAATAAAATTTTACTTATGGTTTTTTCTGTATAGTTCTCATATTTAAATTAATAATTTAATATCATGTTATCAATAATTTTTTAATTTTCAGATTGGAAATATGTTTTTTTTTTTTTTTTTAATATTAAGGTGAGTACTTGCGACCCAGGATTTTATTGATAGTACATTTAGCTAATGGTTGCAT